GTTTTAAATTTTATGTCTTTGGGTTTTGATGCAAGCTTTTATTAATGTTTGTGACTGGCTTGGCTTGTTTCCCATTACAGCAAAAAGCACTTGAAGCTGCCATGAATGACATAAACAGCTCTTTCGGTAAAGGAAGCGTTACGAGACTCGGAAGTGCTGGTGGAGCTTTAGTGTCGGTTTATTTCATATTTCGTTATTGCTGATCTCTCTCTTTAGGATGTTAGTTACAATTCTCCTGGAAAAGAATGGCCTTTAAGTCATTGTATGTCTATTTATAGTTGCCACCAGATGAGGCTGTTAAGTTCTATGTTTATTATTGTTTGTTTAGCTGCATTTACCGCACGTGCTTCTGCTTTCTATGGACTATTTATTTTGTTTGTGTGTCTATTATGTCGGTGCAGTGAAACTTTTCCGAGTGGCTGCTTGACGTTGGACTTTGCTTTAGGTGGTGGCTTACCCAGAGGAAGAATAGTAGAGGTCTGATATGGAGTTATTCATACCATGTCTTTCTTTTATGTTATTATTGTGAGATTCTGAATAAGATGGATCTATTATTAGAAATTTCACGAGCATTCAACCCGAGTCACAAGATTTGATCATAATATAAGTCATCCATACAAAAAAGAAAAGAAAAAAAAAAAAGGAAAAAGGTTAGCTGCATTGTACACATTTGCTTATGGCACACAGTTGGTTAAATTATGTCTTGGACTGGCTGGGAGTGTGTTATGCATACAGCGGTAGCCCAGAATGTAGGATTTTGATAAGTAGAAAGCAAAAAAAATGACTCTTGGTTTTATGGATTGGATATCGATTGTAGTAATAAAAGCCGCATAGAATTTGAGAAGAATGCCCATCACATTCCATCAAATATAAAGTTTGAATGAAACTGATTTTTTTTTTTTCCGGCCTTTGATTTTCATTCCAACCCCTTAATATATACTAATACTATTATCTTTGCTCATATCTTGTTGAGCAGTTATTCTGCCCAGAGTAGATACTATGCTAAGGTTTTGTCCATCAGTTACTTTGAAAAGTTTAGCTTTTAATATGGTTCTTGAAACGAACTATTTTCTTATAGGGTATGGCTGTATCAGGATTGAGCCCCATATATTCAAAGATTTCCAATGATTGGCATTTCTTTTTATTCAATTAAATTTCATAGGCTGTAAATCCGTGGATTTCATAGAGTGATTTGTTGAACATATTTTTTTCCTAATGGAATTCAGTTACTTTCTACGTCAAGCATTGAGCACCAAGATATGTAGCGACCTGTTGTGGAGCCTGTTACATATTAAATTAAATTTTCATTTCTTTTTCAGATATATGGACCAGAAAGTAGTGGGAAGACCACTTTAGCTCTTCACGCAATTGCAGAAGTGCAGGTCTAGTATGTTCTTATTACTTATATTAGTTATTCATCTGATCAAGACCCATTATACCGAGTGCATGCATCGATAAGTTAGTTTCTAACCTCTTATGCTTGGTTTCCATCCATGCTACACTTGATAAACAGTTTGGCACTCTTTAATTTTGAACAGAGATTGGGGGGTAATGCGATGCTTGTTGATGCTGAACATGCTTTTGATCCGGCTTATTCGAAAGCTCTGGGGGTTGATGTTGAAAATTTGATCGTGTGCCAACCTGATAACGGAGAGATGGCTTTGGAGAGTAATTTGTCCTTCCTTTATTGACATTCCACGAAATTAAATTAACCATGGCTGTCACATTGACGGCCCTCTGTTAATGCTCACGTATTTGTGAAATTATTTTACCAATCTTTTGTATTGTATGTTTCAGTTGCTGATCGAATTTGTAGATCTGGTGCTGTCGATCTCATCTGCATCGATTCTGTCTCAGCCCTTACTCCACGAGCGGAGATTGAAGTAATTTACACGACTTATGTACAGTGTCATCTTCTTGACGTGTGAACATCTTCTTAGTATTTTCTTTCTCCGTAGGGAGAAATTGGAATGCAACAAATGGGTCTGCAAGCACGCCTTATGAGCCAAGCGTTGCGTAAGATGTCAGGCAATGCTTCTAAAGCTGGATGCACTCTTATATTTTTGAATCAAATTAGATACAAGGTATTTCGGGTTAAATAACTTTTATTTGCTGCCAAATTTTGAGGCGAATCCCCAATTCTCTTTGGTGGAAGGTTGAGCAACATTATTGTATATAGTAATTTTTTTTTAGTACACAACTTACATTTTTTTTAACTGTACCGTTGTTACTTTGAAGCCTAGTGATATTGTGATTTATCTGAACCAGATAGGAGTATATTATGGAAATCCTGAAGTCACCAGTGGTGGAATTGCGCTCAAGTTTTTCGCATCTGTCCGGCTTGAGATACGTCCTACTGGCAAGATAAAATCCGTAAGCCTTAAATCCGCATATGATGTACAGTTTTGGTTATAAATTGTTCAATCAAAATACTTGCACCTTAAATGGTATGTGTTCTTATAGGTTAAAGGAGACGAAGACGTTGGTCTTAAAGTTCGTGTAAGAGTTCAAAAGAGTAAGGTAACTGATATAAGATAATGATGCTGTTTTCATGTACATATTTGCTTATCGAATGTCAAGGCGAGATTTATTCAAGGCATGAACCTCCACTTTTAGAATTTACAATTTCTTACCTCTGCAGTTCTCTCTTCATTTCACCCAAAATTGGTTGTTATTGTTGCAAGCTAATGAATTTTATTACAGGTTTCAAGGCCGTATAAGCAAGCCGAGTTTGAAATTATATTTGGAGAGGGGGTCAGCAAACTGGTTGGTTTAACTATTTGAAATTATATTTGCGTGTGCTCGGTGTGTATACCTTCTTGCTCCTTACTCCAAGATTTGTGTAATTGACTTCGACTTATTTTCTAGGGTTGTATGCTGGATTGCGCTGAAATGACTGACGTTGTCTTAAAGAAGGGGTCGTGGTATAGCTATGGGGACTACAGGTTTGGTTCTCTCAAATTTTGCGTGTTTAAATGATTATACAATTCGAAAGTGCATTTTCACTCGTACTATTTGTAATAGTAGTGCAATTAGTCATATGATCTATTTTGTGTAATACCAAGACAGTTATATATTAGTATAATTATTATATTTCTGCCTTTAGAAGATCTATGGATTTGTTTCAGCTGTTCTAAACTTATTATGTTTGGTAGACAAATAAGTTAGCTTATAGCTTATTTGGGTAGCTTATAAGCTTCCTGTATTTAAATAAATTTCATTTGGTAGGACGAGCTTTTTAAAAAGCTCGAGTTTATCTCATAAACTTCTTTGGGTAGCTGTTAAAAAATAAGCAATTTAAATTTTTATTTCAACTAGCTTATCAGCTAATTTTACCAAACACTTTTATCATATAAGCTAACATTTCAACTGTAAGTCATAAGTTATAAGCTACAAGCTCGAAAATCACTCATAAGCTATAAGCTAGCTTATCAGCTAGTTTTACCAAACATAGCCTTAGAAACACGTCAATTCCCTCTTGATATTGTTGAAGCACTTTAATCGGCACACGAATATCTAATAGATACAAGGAAATAGTATTGAAATATGGATAATCTTCTTCGGGACATAATCATTGGTATGTGGACACCTTATTTTTGCGTATCTTGACGTTGAAATGTAGACTGGGGCAAGGAAGAGAGAGAGCACTGCAACACCTAAGAGAAAATCCCCAACTGTGTGAAGAAATTGAGACGGTATTACTTTTTCATGACGCGCAAGTTATTGCATTTTAAGTGAAAACTTCGATAAAGAAACAATGCGGAATTACAACATAAGCCCTTGTGGCTTTAAATCCATGAATACAATACCTTCACCATTGTTTAGTTTTATCACTTCATGTTTATTGCTATGAGGATTCTGTAGAACATATTTTGCAATTTTAAATTAATTTATATTTCTTTGTTTTTGCAGAAAGTTCGAGCTGTGGTGTCAGATAACATCGGGCAAGTAGGTTCGTCTGCAAAGTCGTCTTCCCTTTCGCAACCTGATGAAGAAGATCTGTACCAAGAGATGCAATGAGATGGATCACAAAACTTGACCTTTTCTCTCTTTCCTTTGCCTTGAAGAAGAAATTGGTCTTTGAAAGGACACAATACAGACACCTAAGTTTTTGGGGCAGTGATTGAAAATGTATCCATTTCTGTATAAATATTGGTACATTTTTTCATGATGTTTAATTAATAGAATGCAGTTCAAAGCTTCAAGATTTGTTTCAAACCATATTTTCAGGCAATTATCATATAAAAAATTAAAACACCATCTGACATAGTTTAATAAAACTAGTAAAATGTAAAAAATAATTATATATATTGTGGCGAAACAAGCAAATAAATCACTTTAAAGTGCACGTAAAAATGACCTTCGTAAAAAAAGTGCCAAGGGGGTGATTGTTTATGAATTGAATTTAAAAAAAAAAAAAAATTAATCAAAATTTAAATTTGACTCTTTTAATTCAACCCCAATATCCTTAATATTATCAATATAATTAAATAATATTATTTTTCTTCTACTTTACATCAAATTAATTTTAATTATTTTATTTAAATATTATTTTAATATATCTATTCACAACTAACCATACTATATTCTTCAAAGTTATAGTTAAAAAAACAAACCGAATAAAAATCAGTTGAATCCATAAACGATCTAACCCCTATGAATCCCGAACAAGTTTAGGTGAAAAAAAATTGTTTAATAAATCGAAACAATTAAAAAAGAAAAAATATAGTATAAACGAACATGGGAAAATGGCAAAGTGGTTGTAAATTTGAACTTTAAAAATGAGTGTAAAGGTCATTGAGTAGTGACGTCTCCCAATGGGAATCAAATAAAATGGGAAAACGAGGACATAAAATACAGTGTACACATGGAGTCACCACACAAAGTTCGTTGGCCATGGTTGACTTTTTACGCGCGACGGAATCAAAAATGTCAACGCTCTTGCCTCAATAATTTTGCCCTTTGAATTGTCAGATGTTAGTCCTCAACGTTGTCGTACGGAATTTATTTTTTCACATGTCATAATTCCTATATTTTATTAATAATAATTAGAGCTGTAAATGAGTCGAGACGAATTCGAACTTAAGGTGCTCGAGCTCTTAACGAGTCGAGCTGAGCTCGGCTCGTTAAATAAACGAGCCCAAATTCGAGCTCGAGTTCGGCTCGTTAAGGCCTCGAGCTAGAGCATTAACGAGCCGATCTCGAGTTTTAACGAGCCGAACTATAAAAAATATATATAAATTCTATTTTTGAGCCTTATCGAGTCGAGCCGAACTCGACTCCTTAACCATTCGAGCTTTAACTGAGCTCGAGCTCGGCTCGTTAAGGCCTCGAACTCGAGCCGAGCCGAGCCAGGCTCGTTTAACTTAACAACACTAATAATTATCAAATTGCAATATCATCTACATCTAATTTAGACAATTTTGCAACCTTCTATATATAGCAAGTAAACCATATTATATTAATAAAATTATTAGTATTTATTTAAATTATTAATATTTATTTAGATAATCAAATTGCAATAAAACTATTGCATGTTCATGGTTCTATATTTCTAATAGTCACTCAAGTCAAACAATGGGTAAGCATAATTGAACATTTTAAATGTTCAATTTAATACGACTCTTATCTAGTGAGAATCTCGTGCAATGTAAGGGGATTTTGTAAAATAAAATATTTTTGCAAAACTTTATTTTTATAATGTATTAGTCCGTTGATCCGTCTATATTAATATAAATAACATTTTAACATATATATTTATTTTTTAATAAAAATAATAATTTTACAAATTTTGGTTTATCATAATACTCAAATATTATTTTATTCAAAAATTTATTGTCGTATAATGTCAATATTATTTATAACATTTATAGAAGTAATATTTCTTTTTTATATAATGATAAATATTTAATGTATATTAATATTATTTATTGATGTAATTAATTTAAAAATATAGAAGTAAATCTAATGTTTGTTAGGAATGTGATAGATCTCGATATTTTAGGTACAGTATATGATATATATATATACATGTACAAATATATGATACGAATATCTTGATATACAAAAATAAAATTTATCTGATTTATTACCTTAATTAATCAACCAAAATTATCTAAATTGTATCTTTAAAACATACCACAAAATGTTTAAATAGTTTCCAAAATTAGTAAACAAAATTAGTAAACAACATTATTTAAAAAATAATCAAACCTTTTTATATATACTAGTGAGCAACCCGTGCGATGCATGGTGATGCTTGTTCCTCAAAACCTATTTTAAAACTTTATTTTAAATATAATTACTAAAAATTAAACATTTCATTATAGCAAGAAAATAAATACAAAGTATGAAAAAAACATATATTGTTGAACAGTTCCCTATACACAATATTTTTTGTTTGATTTTGTGGCAAACTTTATTCTCCACAAATTAAAATTTTGAAACATTTGTGTGAAAAGAATTAAATTATAATATATTATTTGTAGTGTGGTAAATCATAATATTTTATTTTTGTTGTGATAAAATGTGTTAAGATAACTATGACCGTTTGACAAAATATTTATTAGTAATCCTAAAATTTAAATTTAAAAAGATAAATATGACCATTTGATAAAATATTTATTAGTAATTTTAAAACTTTAAATTTTGAAAAATGACGGTATATATGCGCCATGTTTTTAGGAACTAATCTATCAGATAATACGAAATTCTTATATCATTTCCAGAGTCATACGAATGTGACATTGACTTCATTTATTAATTTCAAAATTAAACAAATCAAAAGACAAACTATTAGGTAGTTATGAAAAAAAGTTTCCAACAAATTATTTTTTAATTTCAAATTTAACAAATCAGAAGACAATTATTAGGTAGTTATGAAAAATAGTCTCCAACAAACTTCAAATTAAACGACACATAACCATCAGATCTGGAGTTAGTCGCAGTTTGGGATCACCACCGTTCTCGAGGTCCGGTGGCTCCCCGACCCGACATTCTCCACCGCCTTCAATACGTCGTACTCATCCACCACCTGCCCGAACACCACGTGCTTGTCGTCAAGCCATTTCGTCCTTGTCGTGCACATGAAGAATTGCGTGTCGTTTGTCCCCGGCCTGGCCTTCGTCAGGTCCTGGTGAGCTTCCTCACGATGGTCTCGTCGGCGAACTTGGCGTTGTACATCGACTCGCTGCCAGTGCCGTTACCCGCATTTAAGTCGTCGCTCTGGCAAATGAAATCGGGGATTACACGGTGGAAGGATGACCTTTTGTGGTTTGAGGGGCTTGCCAAATTTGCCGACGCATTTCCTGCTGGTACATAGGGCGTAGAAGTTCTCGGCGGTCTTCAGGATGACTTTGGCGAGGAGCTCCATCACGATTCAGCCGGTGGGGCTGGCTGTTGATCGTTGTGTCAAAGTAAACCATAGGATTCGATATGTTGATTTTGAAATTTTTTATTTAGGAGTTTTTGTGATTTTTTTAGTCTCAATCTTAGGGTTTGTGATTGAATTGTGAGGGTTTTTATAAGGGATCGATTGAGCGCAAACTTTAAAAAGATGAATTCTTTCTAAACTTTAAAAAGATTTTGTTGTCGCATAAATATGGAGAAAAAAATATTTACCAACAATTCAAGTAATATGAGATTCTTTCCAAACTTTAAAAAGATTTTGTAGTTAAATAAATATGGATAAAAAATATCCATAGATAGAGATTTGCCCGCATTTTCAAATCCTTTTTTATATATATAATTCAACTTGTGCTTTGGGTGAGAATTTACGATTTTTTTTATATAAATCCATTATCAGTAAAAACGAAAATTTTCGGCGGGATTTTACATACTATTCACAGCTAAATATTTTACCTTTTTATATATTTATAGATATATATTTAGGTCGTGAATTTTTGTAAGTTAATAAATTTTTTATATTCTATGATTAAATGGCAGAAAATAAGTTGTTTCAATCAAATTAGTCATATATTATTTCAATCAAAGAATATAAACCACCAAAAAAAAAAAATAGAAAATAAGTTAAGATTTAGGTCATAAAATAATGTAATTTATTATTTTTAAGAAAAGCAAATCATTATATTTACATACAAAATTCATAAATATAAATAATTTATGGATGATTAGAGTTTATCAATGTTTAGTATAACAACAATTATTCTCGGATTTTTTTTTTATTTGCATTATTAATTTGAATGGAAAAAAAAAAATCATAGTTGTTGGAATATCTCAATTCAAAATCTCAAATTTTTGGCATAAGAATCTCCAAATTTGTTACCTTAAGAATCTCCATTTTTTTTGGATATCTCATTAAATTTGATTCCTAAAAAAAAATAAGTTGTTTCAATCAAATAAGTCATATATTATTTCAATTAAAGAATATAAACCACCAAAAAAATAGAAAATATGTTAGGATTTTAATATAAACCACCAAAAAAATAGAAAATATGTTAGGATTTAGGTCATAAAATAATATAATTTATTATTATTTGTGAAAATCAAATCAATATATTTACACACAATATTCAAAAAATATAAATAATTTATGGAGGATTGAAGTTTATCAATATTTAGTATAACATCTATTATTCTCGGAATAATTTTTTGTTTGATTTGCAACATTAATATGAATGAGAAAAAAAATCCGTAATTGTTGGGATATCTCAATTTAAAATCTCAAAACTTTTGGCATAAAAATCTCTAAATTTGTTACCAATAAAATTGGGATTCATATTTATGAAATTAAATTAATTTTAGCATAAGAATCTCCAAATTTGTTACCTTAATAATCTCCAATTTTTGTGGGATATCTCATTAAATTTTATTCCTAAAGAAATAAGTTGTTTCAAAAAAATAAGCCATATATTATTTCAACTAAAGAATACAAACCACCAAAAAATAGAAAATAAGTTAGGATTTAGAACATAAAATAATGTAATTTATTGTTATTTAAGAAAAACAAATCAATATACTTACACACAAAATTAAAAAATATAAATAATTATGGAGGATTGGAGTTTATCAATATTTAGTATAACATCCATTATTTTTAGAACAATTTTTTGTTTGATTTGCAACATTAACTTGAATGGAAAAAAAATCCGTAATTGTTGGGATATCTCAAGTCAATATCTCAATTTTTTGACATAAAAATCTCCAAATTTGTTATCAATAAAAATGAGATTTCTATTTATGAAATGAAACCACCAAAAAATAGAAAAGAAGTCAGGATTTAGGTCCTAAAATAATGTAATTTATTATCTATTAATATATAATAAGGATTAACATAATTCACTTTTAGAAACATTTTTCCGCCAAGTTCATTAATTATTATTTAAAAATAGTAAATTAACAAAAATCAATATAACTAATATACATAATCTTTTTAGTCAAATATTTATGGTTATTACCTTTATTAGTTGAATTTAAATTTAGAATGATTTAGTTTTTATGGAAACAAACATGGGGTATTATAGAAATTTTTGAAATCTTAGTTTAAATATATAGACTTGATTGAGCAATTATAGAGAATTAATCGTTAATCTTTATATCTGTATTATATTTCCTTTATTGAGTAAAACATAATAAATTAATACTTATGTTATTTTTCATACATCTTTTTGTTGGCATAGTAGAGTTGCAAGATTATATTTTTCGTCGTATACAAGATAACCAAATACAAAAATATAAATAACATTTATGTGCCGCTAAAAAATATTTTGGACAAAATGTAGAAATGACTTTTAGAAAATACTTAATTAATTTATGGTATAAAGTTGACAAAATTAATAAATCCATTTTGGTATAAAGTTGATGATTTGATAGCCATTTTTATTTTTTCATAGAAAATGTGTTTTTAATAATAAATGTCCGATTTTTTGGTATAAAGTGGGTGATTTATTTTTGGTATGAAATGTACGAATTTAAATAGTATGAATTTTATTTGGAATGGATAGAAGTATATTTGGAATTATTTAAAACAAAATAAGAGCATTTACAATGCATAAATGTTGTTATCACATAAATTTTGGCAAATGTCAATTGTTTATATGGATTGTGAACCACATAAGATATTTGTTAAGTTCACAACTTTGAATCTAAAAAATTATCTGCGTGCACAATGTGATCAAACATAATATTGTCAATTGACAAAAATAAAAATATAATATAAATAAGAAACAACAAATAAATTAATAATTAGATTTCCATAATATTTGATTAAACACTAAATCCGGTTATTTGGAATCAATTATATTTAAAAGCAGTATTATTATGGAACCAAATGTTATGGAATATCTTTTTAAAAACAGTATAATTATGATATCAAGATGTTTAGATTCAACCTTTTTAATCCAATCCATATCTCTTTTTAGACTTATCAATTCATTTTAATATAATATAAATTTACCGTAAAAATGAGAGTTGGACTTTACAATAATCACGATATCAATATTAACAATATAAATGCTAAATAAAATTTAATTATTTGGACTGTACACTTTATTATATACATATAAATAAATCGCCTATTTGAACTTTAAATATTTTATTTTTTTTCTTATATAGTTATACAATATATGCAACTTAACTAAAAGTAAAAAATATTCTAAAGATTTCATTTCAATAACGGTAACATGTTTTTTAAAATTGCCACAATTTTCGATTCACTAATCAACTACTCATGTAAACATCTTTTTGTTATAATATACGATTTTCTTTTTATCATTTTTAATCATTTTCTTATCACTTTTTTTATTAAACATGTTTTTTCATTTAAAAACTGTGATTTACATGTGTTCCGATTCATTAGTTATTTTTTATCTACAAATGATAAAATATTATTGTTGTTTTTTTAAACGTAATTATTTTTATAAATATGTTTTTCAAAATATACAACCAAAATTCCAAATATCTGTTAAAATATAACAAAATAGAACGTTCTCAATTTTTGAAATGAATTTGGCATAAAAATGAGAATGATTGACAAAAAAAAAAAAGATATACTCAAAATCCACACTTTAACCTTAAGGTAACAATTTTCCTTATACTCGATATAAAATTAAACTTCACCAGATAATCATATCTTTACTATCTATCAGAATATTACATATTTTCACTATAGTTTTATTTCATGGTGGTAGCATTCCGAAAATCAACAAAAAACGAAGAGGTTTCTATGCAATTCACAATTACCAAGTGGAGAGCAATCTTGGTAATATCAATTTACGGTTACCAAGTGAAAAATAATTTTGAATGGAAAAACAAAGAACTTTTTAATAATGTATGATTTTTTCATGATGATCATTTTACGACTATCTAACAAATTTATATGTATTATAACTTATTGATAGCCTTCAATTATAAATTTTACCAAAATAAATACAGTCCGTACATTGCACGGGGTACGTACTAGTTATTCAAGAAAGTAAATCAATATATTTACACACAAAATTCATAAATATAAATAATTAATGGAGGATTGGAGTTTATCAATATTTAATATAACATTTATTCTCGGAACAATATTTTTTGTTTGATTTGAAACATTAATTTAAATGAAAAAAAAAATCCGTAAGTGTTGGGATATCTCAATTCAAAATCTCAATTTTTTTGGTATAAGAATCTTCAAATTTGTTAGCAATAAAAATGGGATAATTACCACTTACAGGTTTCAAAGCTTTTCTCTTTGCCGTAAATGAGGTCTCTCTCTTTGTAATATTTGGGAGTTCCCCTCCTCTGTCTGTAAAGGCTCTTAGCCTTAAAACTATTTGCTTATTGTTTATAAAATCTATCCTTTCTAAAAAAAAAAAAAGAATATCTTTATTTTTAACCTCTGTGGGGTTAAACATATTGATTCGTAATTAGTTGGTTATTCGTAAA